GCTCAGAAATCCTTTGCTCAGCCTTGAGTAGATGGGACTACAGGATGTGCCACCATGCCCACGTACTTTTTTCTATATTATTAGTTGTTCAATTAATTTCTTTCTTTTATGATAGAGACGCTCTCGCTCTTGCTCAGCTGGTTTTTGAAGTCCTGGACTTCGGAGCAATCTGCCGCTTCGGCCTTCCACGGTTGCTAGATTACAGGTGTGAGCCCCATGCCTAGCTTCACCTGGGAGGGTTAGATTTCAGAATCTATATTTAAAAATATCCCAAGTAACTCCTAAGCACTTTAAAGGTGGAGAAGCCTGATGTAGATGATTTGTGGTTTGCTTTTTATCTTTCCAAAGAGATGTTTTGGTAATGTGTAGGGTTGGCCTAAGATTCTCCACTTACCAGACCTTATAAAACACCATTAAAAGATACAGAAGGAGGCAACTGCCTCTGTTCTGTGGTTTGAGATGATGTCAGGGAGGAAAGGAGGCCCCCAAATACACTTTTGTGGATACAGATCTTTTTCTTTGAGTGTTCCAGGGTGTTTGTCTGTAGGCACAAGTATTAGACTCTAAATACACTGAGTGAAGGCCACTCCTTAACAAGTTGAGTTATACTAAATGTGAGACTAAGTTAATAGCCCTATGAAAACAAGCATGAGATAAGCAATATTTCCCAAATTCAAGCAACATGCAGAACTTTTAAAGAAGAAAAAATTCTTTCAGAGTCAGTATGTTGACTTCAATTGCTTGTGCTATAAACTTTCTTAAACAGTAAAAATATTTATTTAGAAAACTATAACAATGAAACAAATTTACAAATTAATAACCAAAAGTATAAACCAACACAAATCAAATAAACTAATGCAAATCAAATATAATATTAATAGAAGATGATTTTTTGCTAAAATAAATTACCTTTCACAGCATGACTATGGCACTGAAGGCTACAATGTTTTTCTTTTGTCCAAAGTATGTGTATTGTCGTGTGACCAAAATTGATTAAATTCTCTGCTTAAACCAAAATCCACTGAAAGGTCATTTGGCATATTAAGACCACCTTCTTTATTAACCCTTGATAATTATTAATAAAGCGATGCTACTGCCACCATCGTGATCCTAAATACAGATACAAACTCCAGCCCTGAGATCATTGGTTGAACCTTGATACAAGATGCTCATCTAGATGATCCAGATATGTTTATAATATTTCTCAATCATTGTTGAGGTAAATGCAGAGTTAGACTATTAGAAAGTTTACAGACCTCTCTCTCTCTCTGTCTCTCCCTTTCTTTCTAGTCCATAGTACTGATGATTTGTGCACTAGGCACTTATGAAATGCTTTATACAATGGCTCATCTTATCTACCCAACTCCCAGGGGTACAATTACTTGGCCAGAGCTTTTAACTTTTGCTGCAGCACCCTTGTGCACCCATGGTGAATACAAGTGTACTAGAGGGAAACAAACCCACAAAGGCCAAGGAACAGCCAGGTGAGGGTGAGGCTAGCACAGACTGTAGTAGCCAGACCCTACTGGCCTGTTGCCCTGGGAATGAGCCCTCCTGTCTACATAAATGGTACCAGGTCTATGTATACTGTGACATGAAAAGATTGGGAAGCATGGAGTTAAACTACAGGGGATGAGTGAGCAGCACCAGAGACTTAGGACTTCTAAGAAGGATTTCATTTGCACAGGGCCAAGTAGATAGAGGGTAGTAGATGTGACAGCAGCCACGATTGGGTGAGTCAAAACTCACAGTATTGAGGTCTCTCAAATGTGAGCACAAGCCAAGGCCAGTCTATGTGTGTGAGTGTTTCTGATGTTTCATATGGAAGATGGAATGTTAGGGCCTTATACCATTAAAAATAAATAAATAGCAAAATACTGTAAGGAGGCTCTGGCCACCCAAACAGGTTCCAGACCAGCCCTACCTGTCACCGAAGCTCTGGCTGATATCACTGTCTTCCTATCCCTGAATGGGCAGGAGAAGGCCCACCCAGTTGGCATACAATGACATGGTGTGGATGTGTGTTGATGTGCTGAAGCTGGTGTGGCACTCCCACAGTCCTAGCCAAAGAGAACCTACCTCTAGGATCCAAATCCAGAAAGCTAATGCCCGCCAGACCCTGCCTCAGCCAGAGATTAAACCTGGGTGCCAACCATCAGATTGCCAGCAGGGAGCTCAGAATGTTGCAAAAGAAACTTAAGCACCAATTAAAAGATATCCAAGGCCTCTGCAGAGCTGCGCTCACTAAATTTTGCTCCCAGCTTCTACAATGGTTCTTTAACACTCTGAAAATGACTGGAAAGCAGATATCGCCCTTCATGGAAGCTAACGAAATGTTTATCCACTCATCAGCCACCATGGGCCAAGGGCGACTAGGTATCTCCTGGATGTGGATCCCATCCTCATACTGCAAAGGCTGATTCCAGGTCCCACCCTGGCTGGGACACCATGGTGTCCTTGACTTGCTTCCTCCTGTTCCCATAGCTCCTGGACCAAGGCACACAAAGTGAGTGGCTTTTCTTGGTGATGAGACACTCTGCTCCCACTATCTTGAGACAGGAAATGGCAGAGGCTGCTGTTGTCCAAAGGGGTGAAGGTAGATTGGCAGCCTTGGAGGAACCACTTGTTCCTCCAAGGGAGCAGGAAAAGGTTAGAAGCAGAGGCCCAGCTCCACAAGGAGCCATATCTAGCTGTACAGTCAGAGGTCCCCATGGGCTGTGCAGCGCAGGGCTAGAGACGTTATTAATAAAAGGCTTTGGAGGTAGATGCCCAATGTATGAGGCCACACAGCTAATAGAGCAGAAGATATCACTTTCTAGAAACCAGTAGGGGCAGCAAAGAGGGGGCCCACCAATATATCCTTCATCTGACATCTACTAGCATATTAACACAGTCCTAAAGGAAAACCCTAAGGTCATATTCTGTGCTACCAAAAAGTTATTTTCTTGAATCAAAAAAAGAGACGGCTCAGTGAATAAACATAAGGGAGGACAAGGGAGCAACAGGCACTGCTGGTTGGTACCGTGTTTCCCCCAAAATAAGACCTACCCATATAATAAGCCCTAGCAGGATTTCTAAGCATTTGCACAACATAAGCCCTACCCCGAAAATAAGACCTAGTGATGGCCGTGGCTACGCAGCGTATCTGCACAACCCATGCATTTCATCACACAGCAGTAAAGAACAGCAGCCCTGCTCATCTGCCCCATCATGACAGCTACTATCCCAGAGGTGACCAGAAAGGTGTCGGCAGCCCCACCAACAAGGTTGGCTCCCCCTGTCAGGTCCCAGCCACCCTGTGCTTGCTGCAAGTTGAGGCTTTGAGGGGAAAATAAGATATCCCCTGAAAATAAGCCCTAGGGTGTCTTCTTGAAGAAAAATAAATATAAGACTCTGTCTTATTTTCAGGGAAACATGGTAGTAACAAGAAGACATTGTCTGCCACTTGTGTTCAGAACATTTCAGGGGAGCTCATTCTCAATGAGACTTTTTCTCATTGAGTATTTAAAACTCTCTCAATACCTCACCCCTTTTTCCTGCTTCACTTTTCCCTATAATATATAGTCTTTTAATATACTGCATGATTTACTGACTTATTTTGTTTATTGCACTTCTTCCTTTCACTAGAATGAAAGCTCCATAAATGCAAGAATTTTTTTTCTATTTTTCTTAACTGCTTAAGCCTTAACTCCTTAGAACTATATCTTGTATATAGTAAATGGTACAGTAAATAAGTGATGGATGAATAGATGGATAGATGGATGCAGGGATGGACAGATGGATGGATGGATAGGATGGATAGATGGATGGACGGATGGACAGATGGATGGATGGACAGAAGAATGGATGGATGCAAAGGATAGATAGATGGATGGAGACATGGACAAATGGATGGATGGATGGATTGATGGAAAGGATGGATAGAAAGAGTAGATGGCAGGCCTTATGCTTTAGTTTCCATATTTCTGAAGGTCCCGGAGGGAGGAAATGCTACAGAAATCAAGTGAAGCTTTTAGAACACATACCTTCGATATCTACTCTGCCTATACAACCACAATGCTAGACCCTAACATAAAATGAAATGAAATTTCCACAGAATCATTAGAATCAGGTGAGGCTTAGCTTTGCCTCAATCAGCTACAATCCACAATAACTTTTTGTACAATGTCACAAATACAAAATAGAGAAAGGATTCAAATAGGGTCTGTATGAACCATAAGTTCTTGTTCTTTCCACATTGTTATACCAAAGGTTACTTCTGAAATGCATAAACTAACCTTTGGCTGTTTCAGTTCAATTCTCCCTTCCAAGCCATTCATCATCCTTGTTCGCAGTAGATCAAGCACCTTAGAATCGTGGCAGAAGGAATAAGAAAGCAGCAGCCAAAATTGGTCTTTGATTCTTAGATAATGCTGAAAAAATTCTGAAATTAAAAAAAAAAATCAATAGGCTGAAACTTGCCATCTTATAGTCAGTTTCAACACACACAGACACACATGTGCACGCACCCATACTCATACCAAAACCAACTAGTAAGAAAACACAACATGAAACTTAACACACTTTTACCTTTGCCCAAGTTCCCCAAGGATTATGAGTACTTAAGAGCTAACACTCCTAGTAGATACTGCCTAAACCTAGAAGAAGGCAAGTATATTTCACCAGAATCAGCCTTGCAATGGCTCCAAAGGAATCTTTCTTCCTCTCCCACACATGCCTCTCCCTAGGCATTGTACTCACTGCCAATGGCCTCCACCTCCACCCAACTTACAGAAACCTAGCCCATAGACCATAAAATGACCAAAAAGGAGATGAAGGAGTACCAACTATGGACAGATTTACTGTGCATCTCTACCTGGAAAGATAGAGTCTAAAAGTAGATATGGTCTAAGTCTATAATCCAGACTAATTATAAAAATTGAAACAAATTATATAACTCAAAGTGCAAATGTTAACCTGATCAAACTCTAGGAGACACAGTAATCTGAAAAAATAAAACAATTGAGAAAAAATTAAGAAGAATTCACAAACAACTGATCCATACTGAGGTTTTTAGGAAATTTATGAAATGTTTAGGAAATTTATGGTGAGCACCACCCTAAACTTTAAACATTAGCATCATGAAAGGGAGCCAAGTCCCTGATGACTCTTCTAGAGATATCACACCAGTTGGAGAGATGATAGATATAACAGAGCATAGAGATTCTTATGCCTAAATATAAAAGATGTTTGGAAAAACACATAGCACATTGTATATCCTAGCCACATGTTTGCAAGGAAGGTCCATATCTGTCTACTGGAATTCTGGCAAAAGTCAAACTCATATAGATACTATTTTCACAGAAATTAGCTGTAATGAAAAGAAAAATATATTTTTTCATTACAAATTATACTTTTCTTTTTCCAAGTTGAAACCAGAAAAAAGTCAAAGTTCTGAATCTCTGCAGTGTAACTGGAAGGGTAATAGAAGGCTAATAGAACACACTGGCCTGTGAGGAACTTCAATACTTTCCTCTCTGGTTAAGTTACTGCCATTAGAATAACTAGTATGTTAGAGAACACTCTCCAGTTAAAATGTGCATAATATGTATCTGCGTAGGGGTAGAATGTGATCATTAACACATCAGCAAGGAGAGTGTATCCAGACTAGGTGGAATCTTGAGAATTAAAAATATAGAGCCTACAGTGGTGTCCAGAGAATATGGGTCAAAGCTAAAAGGCTAAAGTCATGGGGTGTATACAATATACTGGCTGGTAGGAGTCTAGGAAATGACAGGAATGGGCTTGCAAGGCTCTGGGTCCTAAGTAGAAGGTATGAATTGTGCAGAGTGTTGTGAAGCACACTTCAGATCAAGAAATGCCCTTGAACTTTGGTTCTGAGACGGCACTGATTGAGATCATATGACTAATTTAGTAACAACTTTTCAAGGAAAAGGAAGAAAAGACAAACACTTAATATAATTATATATTTGCATAGGAAGATGATCTTAATTTAAGAAAATTTAAATAGTGATATTTGAAATAGGGTAATATGGCATATCACCAATTGAAAGAACTTGAGAGAATATCACCATTGCCCTGGATTAGACATTGCAACCAGAAGAAAACACAACTGTGAGTTTGCAGAGAAACTGGATAGTCAGAAAACAGACAAGGAACAGTGAATGTATAGGTAAATAGCCCCAGAAGAAAACTCAGCTTTTAGATTGAATTGATAACACATCTTAAGCCATCATTATTATGCCTAGTGTTTTTCTAATCATTAACTGAAGCTGCCAGAAGCCTTGCTGTTCTTCTTTTTAACATAAGAGTCACCTAAACCTCACACTCCAGTAACTTACCAATTGTATGTCTCAGTCCTTTCCACTCAGTCCTTCCACTCTTTACAATGGCAGATGTACAAACACATCTGCCATTTTCCCAGGTTCCACCATTCCTGCAGAACTATCTGGGGAGCTTGATGGGAGGGCAAACATTCCTAAGGAAACAATAAATAACAGAATAGTATGTGAACTGGCTAATTAGTTCCTCCTTTCATGCCTGGGCCTCCTCTGGACACCCTATTCTTTGAGACACAATAATATTGAAATAGGCCAATTAATAACACTAAAATGTCCTCTAAATGTTCAAGTGAAAGGAAGAGTCGAGTGTCTCTCACTTTTAATCAAGAGCTAAAAATGATTAAGCTTAGTGAAGAAGGAATGTTAAAAGCCAAGATAGGCACAAAGCTAGGCCTCTTACACCAAATAGCCAAGTTGTAAATGTAAAGGAAAAGTTACTGAAGTCAATTAAAAATCTGTTCCAGTGAGCACACAAATGATAAGAAAGCAAAACAGCCTTACTGTTGATATGGAGAAAGTTTTACAGGTCTTAATAGAAGATCAAACCAGCTACAACATTCCCTTAAGCCAAAACCTAATTCAGAGGAAGGCTCTAACTTTCTTCAATTCTTTAAAGGCTATGAGAGGTTAGGAAGCTGCAGTAGAAAAATTGGAAGCTAGCAGAGGTTGGTTCAGGGTTATAAAGAAGCCATCTTTATAACATGAAAGTGCAAGATGAAGCAGGAAGTACTGATGTAGAAGCTGCAGCAAGTTATCCAGAAGATCTAGCTAAAAGAATTGCTGAAGATGTCTACACTAAACAACAGATTTTCAATATAGATGAAATAGCCTTCAACTGAAAGAAAATGCCATGTGGGACTATCATAGCTAGATAGGAGAAGTCAATGCCTGGCTTTAAAGCTTTGAGAGACAGGCTCTTTTGTTAGGAGCTCATGCAGCTGGTGACCTTAAGCTGAAGTCAGTGCTTATTTATTGATCTGAAAATCCTATGGCTCTAAGATTTAGGCTAAATCTACTCTGCTTATGCCTTATAAATGGAGTAACAAAGCCTGGATGACAGCAAATCTGTTTACAGTTTGGTTATTGAATATTTTAAGCCCACTGTTGGGGCCAATTACTCAGAAAAGAAGATTTCTTTCTAAATATTATATCTCATTGACAATGCACCTAGTTGCCCAAGATATCTGATGGAGACATATAAGAATCTTAATGTTTTCATGCCTGCTCACACAGCATCCATTCTGTACCCTATGGATCAAGGAATAATTTTGACTTTCAAGACTTATTAATTAAGGAATACATTTTGTAAGTCTATAGCTGCCATACAGAATGATTTCTCTGCTGAATCTGGGCAAAGTGAATCAAAAACATTCTGGAATGGATTAATCACTGTAGATGTCATTAAGAATATTCATAATTTACATAATTTACAGAGGTGGTCAAAATATCAACATGAACAATAGTTTGAAATAAGCTGATTCCAAACCTGATGGTTGACTTGTAAGGGTTCTATACTTTAATGAAGGAAGTATTACAGATGTGGCAGAAATGGTAAAAGAACCAGAATTAGAGGTAGAGCCTGAAGATATGACTGAATTGCAACAATCCCTTAGTAAAACTTGAATGAGGAGTTGCTTCTTGTGGATGAACAAAGAAAGTAGTTGCTTCAGTTGGTATTAACTGAGCAGCACCTAAGTGGACACATAAGTACTACAGTAATAGGGTATTGGGCAGGGGGGAGGGGGTCGGGTATATACATACATAATGAGTGAGATGTGCACCATCTGGGGGATGGTCATGCTGGAAACTCAGACTTGTGGGGGGTGGGGGGAATGGGCATTTATTGAAATCTTAAAATCTATACCCCCATAATATGCCAAAATAAAAAAATTAAAAGCTACACAATAAAATACTGTCAAAATAAAAAAAAAAAAGAAAAGAAAAGAAAGTAGTTGCTTGAGATGGAACTACTCCTAGTGAAGATGCTGTGAACATTATTGAAATGACAACAAAGGCCTTAGAAGATTACATAAACTTAGTTGATAAAGGAACAGCAGGGTTTGAGAGGATTGATTCCAATTTTGACAGCAGATCTAATGTGAATAAAATGCTACCAAGAGCTGGCATGGTGTTGCATGCCTGTAGTCCCATCTATTTGGCAGGCTGAGGAGGGCAGGTTGCTTGAGGCCAGGAGTTCAACACCAACCTAGGCAGTAGAGCAAGACTTTATTTCCAGAAAAAAAAAATTTTTTTAATTGCTATCAAACAGCATCACATGGTACAGAGAAATCTTTTGTGAATGGAAGAGTCAATCGATGTAGCAAGCTTCATCATTGTCTTACGTTAAGAAATTACCACATCCACCATTCTAATAAACTTGAGGAGACTAAAAAAAAAAAAAATTACCACAGCCACCCCAATCTCCAGAAATCACCATCCTGATCAGTCAGTAGCCATTAACACTGGGGCAAGACCCTACACCAGCAAAAGATTACAACTTGCTAAAGACTAAGATGATTATTAGCATTTTTCAGCAATAAAGTATTTTTAATTAAGGTATGCACTTTTTTAAGATACAATGCTATCACACAATTAGAAATCAGATTACAGTATTCTGTAAATACAATTTTTATATGCACTGGGAAACCAAAAAACTTGTGTGACTTACTGAATTTCAATATTTACTTTATTGCTGTGGTCTGAAATCGAAGCCCCAATATCTCTGGGGTATGGTCCATAAGATATGATGACAAGCAAAGAAACTTATGGGCTATTTGGTAAATTTAAATAAACATAGACTGTTCATACGTCTATAGACATAGACGTTTTAAGAGGCTAGCATTGCAGGAGATTTAAAAACAAGATGATACTAAAATGCTGAAAAACAATAAAAAAGGAAAGCAATGCCACAGAAGGCAGTAAAATAGGGGCAGACACAAAATAACATAGTAGAAATAATAAACACAATAAATGTGAGTAGTTTAAATTCATCTGTTTAAAGAAAGACACTGCCATGTTGTATATCTTTGAAGCAAAACAGAAGTTAGCTCATGATGTTTATAAGAAATACTGAACATTTAGT